GAAGAGGGTTGCGGTGGTAGGGTCATGCTGTGATAGAGGGTAAGAAGTGTTCTTTATGAAGGGTTTTCTGACAAGTCAGACGAAAACTTTGCGAAGGATGCATAAAATTAGCACAATTAGGGCATTTGTTTTTTCCTTAGTCATTTTCACACCATTCCCCCTCCGCTCAACGGCAATTTGGGGCGGGAGAATGTGAGCAGAGTTAGAGCATGTCGACAAAAAATCAAATACTGTACGAACACAGCAATGATGGCGAGGGCGGTGGTAGACGGTGGTGATCGGGATAAGCCATATAAAGATCGTACAATTGTCGCAAAGTCTTTAAAACTTATTCCCAATGTCACGGTTAACCCTGCCTTCAAGACCATATATGGCTAAACTTGTATTCGATTCTTGTTTGAGAGTCCGAATGGATGTGAAACAGTAGCGCACCACAGGAAGAATGCGATTAACGACGGAAGCTTCCCTTTGACCCTTTTATATGAGGGAAACATTTAGGGTCGTCTATCGCATCAATAGCAATTAGCAAGAAATAATTTAGGCTGGTGTCAGAGTCCGCGATCCGTCGCGCGATTCGCAAAATCGCAAGTGCCCCATTTGAACATTTGAAACACTGAATATGAAACAAGTAGAATCATGAACACACGTCATTCCGAAGCAATTGTGATTTCTTGGTTTCGCGAGGGACTCTGACAATAGCCTTAGAGAAAGGGACCACGGTGGTCTTAAAGACTTGTATTATACATGAGTCCCATCAATCAAAAAAAATGGTCACAATCGAGTTCATTTCAGGCCAGTGCCTTAGTTCTGCCTACTGCTAGCAAGAACAGGCTTTTCTAGCTATGCTGCTGAGGTGGGCATAAAAGAAAATTTTTCAAGTCGCCATTTTGCATATAAACTACCACTGCGCTTTCCCCTTCCTTGAAAGCAATGATCACGACGACTGGAGGGCGGTGCGGTTTTCATGACGTCATTTAACGACATTACGTAGTATAAGAGCGTTAAAGGCTATTCGACTACACCTGCAGCGCTCTGAGGAGTTGAGCTCACGAATGGCATTGGATGACCTTATCAAAACCGCACCGCACTCCCGATCACTGCCTTCGGTTAAAGATTGTTCCGCAGCTTTGGAAAATTGTTCTGAGCTCAAAGACTCAGGACCAGGGTGAAGTGTCCATTCGCATTATTCGAAAAAAAGGGACGCATTCGTGATTTCGGGATGGGGGGGGGGTCGCTCACATCATTGTTTTGCGAGAATGAAGAGCAATGTGAACCGGGAGCCACTGTTGTCGTAGAAAAGGAGGTGGTGGATCATGAACAACAGCAACAGCAGGTGATTGCTACGTTTTGCAACAGGCAAGAATGGACCCACGTCAGTCGCAAGCTGCAGTTGCAAAAATTTATCAGGATTGAAGGCACGTAATCCCAGCCTGAACAGTGGCACAGTGACCGTATAGGGATGGTCTGTCTGCCCGACCAACAGTATCCGGGGTTCCGTTGAAATCCCGCGCATCAGCGAGGAAAATTGCTAAGTGCCGAGAATATGGGAACGGACCACCGATTTGGAGGATCGCGTGCCTCTTCTTTGTTGTGAGCAAATTGAATGTGAGTAGTGATTTGGACTTACCCGCATATGGCGAGAATAGGAACATGTAATGCACCCAGGACCATCGTTCAACATGATTGTTTTGATAGTCCATTCGATATGGTGTGGGGAGGCATAAAGTTGTCAAGGGCGTACTGACCTCCCAACTCATGATCGCGCACACTTTCTGATCCAAGTTATTGTGACGCTGTCCTGCTCTTTTATGTGGATCTTTTCACATTAGTATGAAAGACAATGTGCGAGTGCATCGAGCAGCCTAGGTGGAAAACTCTTGGAGTGAGGATCTTTGGCGATTGGTTGAGCCTCTCCGCTTCCTCCAGTCAATTCTATGGAGCACGTGTGGCATGCATTCAGGAAAGCTATTGTAGCGCATCCCCATGCCTCCAACAATTGTCCAGCAATTGCCAATCGCGATCTTCATGGAATGAACCGCTTCTCCACCATAACTCTTGACTAACATTCCGGCCACTATGGGAGCACGTAGCAGAGCATC